TAATCTATCCCTAGACGAAGTCTCTGTGGCAGAAAAGAAACATGTGTTTTATTAAAAAAAACACTTAAGTATAGAAAACCCCTTCATCTGGCTGTTCACCTTATTGGCCGTCTCCATGACCACCTCGATGTTAAGGTTCTGTGCGGCCATGGCCAGCAACTCGTCGTCATCGTCCCCGACGTCCCAGGCGTCGCTTGTGATGCTCTCGAACTCCTGGAAGGTAGTAGCCTTCTTGGGCTTGCCTGGCGTGGCCGGAGGAGGCCTGTTGCCTGCTTTAATCAGGCTGGAGGACAGAGACAGGGACAAGGGAACAGGGAAGAGGAGTGAGGATAGGGGGGGGGAGAAGGAGACGAGAAGTGAATCATTTTGACACTGACAGGTGGGCAAACAAATAGAATTTTAAAAAAAGAGAGGCCCTCAATAATTAATGAATTATGCAACATTCGGCGTGATTCAAAGTCTACAAAATATCCACTTTTTAACGCACCGGCATTGGCTAGAATTACCACTAACAACACAGAAGACACGCATCCAAAGCACTAGAATCAAAAACGGGTCTCACGACTTAAAGAGACCGACTCTGGGTCCTGTTCAAAAGAAACCGAGCCGCTGTCTTTGTGGTGCAAGGACACCGTTTCATTCAGCCGGAACAAGAAACGCAACAGAAAAAAGAGAATTCAATTAAAATCAACCTTTCCTTATCATGCGATGCGGGAAAAGGGAAGGTGGGGAGGAGGGGAGGTGCTCTGATTTCTTACAAAGACAAGCATTACCATAATAAAAGGGAGAGACTTGTCCATATTAGCTTACTTTCATCATAACTTAGAAGAAAAGACAGTGTCTGAACCTATACACGGACAAAAAAAACAAGAAAATTGAATTCAACCCCTTGTGGAAATGTACATGATTAAACATCAGTCAAAGGAAATGAAGGGATTTTTACCAAATAATAGGCTGTTTTTCTATCTTTGCGCATGTGTGTGTGTGTGTGTGTGTGTAAAATGAGATAGATACAGTACAAAAAGTTAAAGATATTTCCTATGCTGGACTAAATAATGGTTAAATTAAAAAAAAGTTTTGTACAAACTTAACGTTTCAAGATTTTACAGTTTTTCAATGTCGTTTTTTAGCTGTACATTAAACATTTACTGGAAAGGTCCAGGCTTTTTCTTTTAGTTAATGATTTCAATCATAAATGTATTCATTCCCATATTTTTACACACGTAAGATGTGTGTAGGTACCATGTAGTCCTGAAATACTGATACTTCCAACATCCCTTTGAATTGTTAGTTTTTCAAATCATGTAACATAACCCATTTGTACTGGACATGATTACAAACTTTAAAATAAAACTATGTCTTTTGTCCTTTAAGTTGTCAAACCAGCCACCTAACAGCTAGATTGTCCGGTCGGTGCACTTTCACGGACACTTGCAGAACAGCACAGGCCATGCCGAGCGAACCAAAGGTTATCAGAATTACACTGCAAGGACCAATGCATGCAGTTTCACACATGTAACCATGTTGTAATGACGTGTAACAGCTGGGTGTCTGTCGAATGGCAGAACAAACACTCCCACATTCCTGGGGATGTGGCTAAAAGTACATGTTTTACAGTATGAAGTGTTCTGTCTTCTGAGGGGATCGGTAGCTACCCTTCAAGATGTCTGACTTGTTTTGTTGTCTTCTGCCAAATACTCATCCTCTACTGGTAATGGTGAACTGAAATTAACTCAAACCAGTAGATGAAGTCCTGGTTTATGCTGATGTCCTTTTAGGACTTTTTTTTACCACTTAAATAAAAGTATTGCGTAATCATCCATAAAGTTGGTGCTGCTGATCATCAAGGAAGTGTTTCTCTTAAGTAACGAGAAAGAACCCTTTAGCCTGAAACACATCAGATAAGCTTGTCTGTTTGTCAAAACATGATGTGATGAAAACTGTTCTTCCGTGATTAGGAAATATATATTCCTCCACTGTTTCATGCAGAATGAATACATCACTTCCGCTTTTGAACGTTATTTTGGAGCAAACGTAGAGGCGAGAATGCCAACTTCAGCTCGGGTAGCATGACGTTTAGCAACTGAGGCAAACGGTTAGCATCAGCAAAGAAACTTAAAAACCTGCGGTGAGCAGAAGCCCAGACTAGCACCAAACTACTCCAGTAACATCATAGTGCATTAACCTACAGTGACGAAGTACTTTTAACTTACTTAGCATGGAGGAGCGGGTCGAAAGGTGGATGTTGTGCGCCGTACACATGCTGAATGCTGAGGAAGTGAAGAAGAGAGAATGTAAATGAATGAGCTAATTCAGAACTGGCTGTCAAGCTAGCCATGCTAGCTTCTGAATACCAAAAACAATGCCGGTTAATGCTACAATTTTGGGGCTAAGTGACATGAAAACGACCTGCTGCTGTAAACCCATGGCTACTCCGTATTATAAAATGGTTATAATATAATTAGTTAGAACTCTGTGACTGCGGTGTGTGGGTAAATTGCTTAACTGTTAGCCACTGTTAGCAACGTAGCTCTAAGTCAGCTAAAAGCGGAGAGGCGTAACCTGTGATTGAGAGCTAATTTACCACAGACAATGGCACGTTACAGGGGGTGTAACTCGCAAACTTGGTGCAACATCGGAGGACCGTCAGTGAAAGTGAAAGTTCCGTTTGAAGCGCCACAGTGCAGCGTCAGTTCAGTGAGGCTAGCTAGGCTAAGCTAGCCGACAGGAGGGAACACGTCACTCACCTGCCAGGAACCTTCGCTGCGTTTCTTTTCCAGAACTGTTTCTTATTTCCGTCATTCGACATTTTCACTCTATGGTCCAACCAGTCTCAAACACAAACACGCAAACGCTGTCGTTATCTTTAAAACGTGAAATTTGTGTTTATTTACACCATGTACCCTCCTCCAAAACTCAGAGAGCTGCCATGTTGATACTGCCTAATCGGCAAGCAAACGTTGCTGTGATTGGCTGGAGCGACACTTCCGCTATGTGAGCCAATCACAAGTGAGCTCTGCTGTTAGGTGGCACGGCAAGCTGCCCACGTCATGATCTGTCTTTGCTTTGTTGAATGAAACCACGAGCTGTGTGTCAATCAAAAGAGAGACCATCAGCATCAGGACCAGAGACAGGGAGAGAAAAATGCTTATCATTTAACACTACTATTTCCATAGCAGTTTATAGTATGAGGCGGATGTATTTGTAGTTCAATACGTGTTTTTTTTTATTATGCACCAGTGTTAATTATCTCTAAAGTTTATTAGAAGTAATTTCAGCATAGTTCAAATAGCGTGCCTCTCATCATGCCGGGGCAGTGTTATTACAATGTCACATTTATTGGGAATTACGTGAGCCTTTTTAACTACACTATGATTTCAGCTATAGGGGCAAGTATATTTATCTAAGGGCCAGATCCAGCCTGAACATGGAAATGCACTATTAGTAAAAGTTGTACCTGGACAGCACCTCGTATTCTCCTCTTATTACTTTGCCTCACTCTCAACGCAGAAGCCTGTTGTGGAGGTCAAACCCACGCAAACACAGTTTAGTCATCATTTTTGTTAATACTGGTGTTTGCCACGTCACTGTCTGGAGGTTGTGCGAGGTTACGGTAATTATTAAATTCTCAGTCTGCGACAGTGTGGAGGCACCTCAGTGCTCTGATTCATGAACCAGAGGGCTCGTGTGTTTACGCAACGCGCTGATGCAGTGTTTGTTCCACGGGGTTGCAGCAGGCAGGATTTAAGGCAAGAGCTCTCACTCCTTCACAATTTCACGGTACTGCAGACGCCCGTTGGGGTATCGATGTTAGTGGGAAAGTGGTTAAAGTTGTCATACCTCTGTAAACCTTTTCAGATAAAACATCTAAGATTTAGTTATTTTTCATCTCGAAAAAAAACTACACTTAATAATTTGTAGTTATAAACAGTGCCGTAAGGTGGTTACGAAGGGCCCCAGCGCACGCTACTATGAGGGGCCCTAGTTCCAGTACAAAGCACACACACACACACACACACACACACACACACACACACACACACATATCATTAGGCATTTATATATTTTAACAACAATGTGCTGGAAAGTCAAATAGGCTATTGTGTCGGTAACTGCTGATCAATAAATCAACCCTTACACATCTGTGAGTTGTGTTTAATGAGAAATTTCAAAAATACTTAAAGTCTCAATGAAAATGGCAAATATTTGTTGAAATTTGAATTAGCCTACCTAGTTCAGAACTTACATTTTACACTGGATAAATTGTTTCCTTGGCGTGAACTGTCAAAAATGGGTTAAAATAAAAACAAACCGATTTTAGGCCGGGTAATGTAATTTATTATGTTATTTCCAATGTATGATTGTTGTAGGACGGCCCAGTGGCCTGTGGGAAGTAAGCCAGTTTCATTTTCACGATAGAGTGAATCATCTCTCTCATACACGATCTTTGTTTTAAGTCCCCTCTTGTCCCGGCAGCAGCACGGGGCCAAACACTGGCTCAACACGCTTCGGACACAGAGCAGCGTTCTGTCATGCGGGCCGTACATAGGTAGAGATGAGAATCATCGGGCGACAGCGTCGCTAACGGCGCGTCCGACCGATATCATGGAAGAACAAGCCCGACTACTGTCTTCGATGCTCTTTCACAAGCACAGGCAGGTAGAAGTTGCTCTGAACTGCAGTGTCTTAGAGTGGAAGGAAATGGAGAGGCGCAGAAAACGCAGCTCTGGAGTCATCAGCAACAGTGCTGAAACAGGTCAGTCCAACAAGTTGAATGAGTTTGCTTTGTCATAACTGTTTGTAACATAAATAAACAGCCTTTTGGTTCATATCTTTAAAACCTAAGAAGTATATGCCAAACAGCCCCAACTAATCATGTTGAAATTCAGAGAAATAAATATTTAAAGAAAATATGGAAATGAAATATGAACACAAAAGGTCAAAAACATCAAAGGAAGTAACCAATGTTGTTCAGTTTTCATTTAAAGCCTATATATCCCTCCAAGAAATAATTTGCCTTTGGTAACCATGTCATCCATGCAAAAAATAAAAAAAAAGTCTGGAGCAGCTGTCTTCCCACTCTCTGCACTCCTTATCAGGATGATGCACATGTTGAGGGAGCAACAGTCGGGTCATGTTGCCACTGTAGATTGGGGGTCTGTAGCCTGACAAGAGCAGGTCACACGCGTGGGTTTTTCAGACAGAGATAATTAGGAGGCTCTTGTTTCTTACAAGCAAACACTGGAAGAGGGTTATTTAACTTGTCCCGCTGAAGGAGTTTGCTCGTGCTCTCTCGTTCGTGAAAGGGGCTTTCTGCCTCGGCTGGCTTTGAGAAAAATCTGCAAAATGTCAGCTTTTTTTAGGGCCAAGCTGAAGCCACTCAACTTTTTTTGGGGGGCAAAAAAGGAGGCATAATTGTCTCCAAACATAAAGTACGGGGTATTAACTTTACTCAACAGAAACAGTGAGGATTTTCTGCACTACAGCTGTACGGCCATGCATATTTATTTAGTAACAGGGAACTCCAAATCCCTTCAGGCCTTCTTCCAAAGCCACTTGCCAAAATTGTCAGAATATTTGATTAATTGATTGCTGTCGGGATGTAAAGATAATTTCAACAAATATAACAAAAAAACAAATTCTAGAATACATTACTTACTCCAGCTTTAATGTTTACGCACCCATTAACTACTGTTGCCCAGCTAACAGTGCTAACTGCAAAAAAAACAAAAATAAGAATGAAGGGGAACTACCGCCATATTCAAAATTCATAAGTGTCATTCATATGTTCTTTAATTAACAGTCCAAAAATAGTTAACGTGAACAACTCTCTACCAAATCCACAAAAGCGTGCCAAAACTCTAATTTGTGAGTCTAACTGCTCACAAGGTGCTGCTCCATAGACTATGAATTGGGAGAGATGTTGTGGATGACTTTCCATCTTTTGTATCAGACAACTTTCACTTAATCCAGACGTCCTCATAACCTCCTGAGGCTAATGTTTGTTCATCTAGATGAGTTCCCCGGTCTGCAATTACTGTACCATATCGAGTGGAGTTATTACAGCTGGCACTGCACACTTCAGTTTAAACCTGGCCATTGACCTTCCTGAAAGTGGTATCAAGCGCCCTATAATAACCTGCCATAAAGACTTCCATTTATTGAGTCAATGTTCAACGCGACTTCACCAAAATCTCCCCCAGCGATCGCTGCGACGAGAGCGGCCCTGTTTACCCTGGAGGTAGGAATCAAGCAAGGAGACATTGCAGGTGATAAATATCCAGTAAGTCCAACATCAAACAGAGCCACACTCTTTATGAGGAAATCAATGACTGTGACTGCTTAAGCAAGCTGAAGTGGCTGATTATGTTTATCTTTTTATACATGTACTCTTTGAGTGGAGTGTGGCTATCATTAGAAGTCAGTGTGGTCGGGTTAATCAGTAACTACGGGGGTGATCGTCTTTGCACCGACCCAAGGAAGGAAACCCTCCACGTGTTTCACATGTTGTTGACATGCGTCATGGGCCGCACGAGCGCTCCACGCTTCGCTCTTTGTACAGTTCTCTCTCTCTCTGTTTATTTGAAGCTGTAAATTTGTGCAGCTGTCGTAGACTGATTGGTGGAATGTCCTTGAGATGACTTGTTCTAGTTTGCAGGGTTGTTCGTTTCTAGACGCCAGACCCTTACCGGCACGGTCGCAGGTTCAGTGCCCATGACAGCAGAAATAATGCAAATGAATGAGTAATTAAGGAGTAGGACGGATTATTTTTCTTTGCCACGTACAACATCATTTTCCAGTGTAGTTGACTTAAAATGGAAATAATGAGGCGACAAAACAAACAGGGGTATAAGGGGAAATGCAACAGATAGAAGGTGACATATTAGTTGGTACACATTTAACATTTCCTATCAAATAACATTTAGAAGTCAAGAAAAATCTGTGAACCGCAGCTCTGAGAAGACAGAAAAATCCCAGCTGATAGCAGAAATTCATGCAGCGTGACTCAAATTTGACAGGTGGCTCGTATTTTTCTCATTTTTCTTCCCTAAAATTTCTCTTTCCCCCCTCGAACATCAAACTGACACACGAGTGCCATAAATGGCAAGAGTAACTGATGTGAGCGGTAAACACCACTCTGGTCCTGGTGCTCAGGTTTACACAACATTAGCGGATGTTACCTCTCCACATTGAAGTGGATTCGGGTCGAATCACGAGCGTCAGTCAGTCAGTCAGATGTGCCGAGTAGAGAACAAGACAAGGGTTTTCCGAGCCAGGAATGCTTTGTTCACACACAGATACACACAGACAGAATCCAATCACTGAGATGGCATGGCCTCTGAGCCTAGAGTAAATCCTACGTCCACATAATCCCCGAGTCACTCCTCTTACACAATGCATGCTCCCATCTTGGAAGAAAAATCGTCACTAAATCATGGCATATGCTTTGGAGAGCATCTCCCTTTTCCTCCAAATCACTATGCTTTGCGAGTAGTACTTCCTCAGGCCCTCTAAGCCTGGGTATCTCTCGTGGCCAGGTTTTTATTTTAGATATTTGCTTTCCCATATGGCAGAGCTGGATACTATTCCAAAGTGTTACAGTCAGGGATTCACTTATAGCAATACAGGAAGTATTGGAAATCAGGCTGAAATAGGGTATCAGCATCACAGAATTTCCTCTGTAACAAAATCCCTTCGCAAAATCCACATATAACAAGTAAAGAAGCAAAACAAAGCTGCATGATTTTGTGCATCAGTTACTCGTAGAACTACAGTAAGTCTCAAAAGTTCTGAAGGAAAGAAGAAAAAAGAAGGCTCGAGCCATGCTAGCAGCGCTGTGTCTTCTGTGAGCAACTTAAGTGAACGGTTTGACCTTTCGACGGCACCAGCTGTAAAGCCAGAAGATCAACAAAATCATTAAGCTTCATCCTCTGGGGACCACGACTGTCTGTACCAAATTGCATGGAAATCCAGTCAACAGCTCCTGAGGTATTTGACGAAAAGGACAAACAACTTCAACCTCGCGGAGGCACTGGAGGAAAAGTCAGAGCATCACCGAAGTCTTTAGGCTTCATCCTCTGGGGAACATGAATGTGTGAAGTACATTTTATGGCAATTTATGGAATATTTGCTAATAATGCAGATACGATATTTCAGTCTGAACCAAAGGGCTGGACAAACGCACCAACATTGCCGTCCCATGAGCCATGCTGAAAATCCAAACGCAGCTCAAAATAATGACTTGTGTTGACCGCTACTTTTGGCACATGTAGTGATCTAGCGGTACCATTGCACCCCTATTGACTGTTATACCTTCCACCATTGCTGTGCTTTCTTCCTTCTCCATCTGTTTGCCTCTATAGCCTTGACTTAAAACAAACCCATTGTGCCTGGGAGGAATCCACGTGTCTTGTTTGACAGCTCACTGCCATGTGTACCCAGGCAAAGCTGCGCTTTGTAATCTAAAGCGGGTGCTCAATGCACAGCCCTGTCTGTACGTTGTGAGACGGCAGCAGAGGGAGGGAGAGAGAGGTACCGAGGAATAAACAGTGCCAGAAAACAACAGCTGGAGATCGGGTAAACCGCATTACTTTTCTTTACTGCTTTACTGGCAGCCATACAAGCCCTTTTATTACATTGATTGTATTTATATACCTGCGGCTTGGGTTCTGTAGGAGCAAAGAGTAGGACCTCTAAAGGTAATTGCACAAAGAATCAATGACCTGGAAGACGATGTGTTGGTGCGGTTGAGTGCTATCCTCCACCTTGTTTGATATGAACTCATATTTTTTAGGATAATGCAGTAAAACACTTGCATACATCTGCAGCTAATATCCAGCACGGGGCCAAAAGAATGCTTAAATATTAGGTTGCATCACCAGACAACATTATCAGTCTCACGCCCTCAGTTAAATCCCTCTGTTGCGCCCGTGATGCATGCCACTTGGAAATGCAATATGTGCAAGCAAAACAGGAATGATATGGAAACTACATGAACAGTGCGGGGACACCTACAAGCGCGAGCATTTCCTTAAGCTCGCGCTGGCACATTGTCGGTTCCAAAACCTGCGTAACAATAAAGGGATTACATACTGATCCACTGTGTAAAGGGAGGGGTGCCCGAGAACAACAGCAGAATATGAATATGAATATGATGACAGCTTGTTGTTGTTGTTGTTGTCGGGGGACAAAAAGAAGGTGAGGCCAGACTCTGTGCTGTCACAGACATCATATACACAAAATCTCTTGTTAACACACACACACACACACACACGCATGAAAGCATCGGATGTATCAAGTTAAGATCAAATCCTGCAAGATCATCCCCAAATATATCGTACACGTCCTCATTTTGGGCCGATGAGAGAATGTCTGGGGACACTTAGAAGCCAAAGGCGGTGACGAGGCATTCGCGGACGTTATGTTAATGTGAGGCACTGTCTAGGAAACTGACATTTGTTTTAGTGCGATGCCACACAGTTTGTGGGTAGCAGGACGAGCAGGACCGTGATGTATCCACAGATGTACCACGGCAGGCCCAGGTACTTGTTGATCCACCACAAAAGTACAAAGCAGTCTCTTAACGTTTGCAGCAATTTAGTCTGAACTTCAGCTATACTGCTATACTCGGTTAAGGTCGCTCATCAGTTATCACAGGGGAAAGATACTAACCTGCCGCCACAGAGACCGAGCAGCGGTGCTTTCTGCCTGAACCCATAAAGGCCCGGTGACACCAGCATTTTAAAAGGGCAAAAG